ACAGATCATAACAAACTTACTGCCAGAATCGAAACAAATGGATTTCTGATTTTCGAATTTTCATAATAGCAAAATGTGAGACATGTTTTTGACTCAAAATCCCTACAAAATACATCGAAATTGTACAAGTAACAAGAGGCCCAGGGGCCACATCGCTCACCTGAGCAATTATCTAGGAAAAAGCACATATCAGATCAGAACTGAAAGTTTACTGGGGGGGGGGGGGGCAGGGGGTGGGGAAGGGGGCTTGAATTTTAACCCCAAGGGGATCATGATTTGAACAAACTAGAATCTACACTACCTGAGCATGATTCCCTATAAATATCACTAAGCATGGCTTTGAAGTACTTGAAAAGAAGATTTTAAAAGTTTTCCCTATATATTCCTATGTAAGACTTTTATCGGCCATTTGGCCCCACCCTACCCCCGGGATTTGAACAAACTAGAATCTACACTACCTTGGGATGATTCCACATGAGTTTCATCTTTCCTGTCTCAATGGTTCTTGAGAAGAAGACTTTTCCTATAAACTCCTATGTAAAACTTTGATCGGCCATTTTGGCCCCACCCTACCCCCGGGGGTCATGATTTGAACAAATTTGAATCTACACTACCTGCAGATGTTTCTATGTAAATAGGACCAATCATGGTTTTGCTGTTTTAAGAAGATATTTTTTAAAGATTTTTCCTACATACTCTCATGTTAAACTTTAATCGTCCATTGTGGCCCCACCCTCCCCCCAGGGGATTTCAATCATGAATCTACACTACCTGAGGATGATTTCACATGAGTTTCATCTTTCCTGGCCCAGTGGTTCTTGAGAAGAAGATTTTTAAAGATTTTTCCAATATTTTCCTATGTAAAACTTTAATTGGCCATTTTGTCCCCACCCTTCTCCCGGGGGTCATGATTTGAACAAACTTGAATCTACACTACTGAGGATGATTCCACATGAGTTTCATCTTTCCTGGCCCAGTGGTTCTTGAGAAGAAGATTTTTAAAGATTTTTCCTACATATTCCTATGTAAAACTTTGATCGGCCATTTTGGCCCTACCCTACCCCCGGGAGTCATAATTTGGACAAATTTGAATCTACACTACCTGAGGATGATTCCACATGAGTTTCAACTTTCCTGGCCCAGTGGTTCTTGAGAAGAAGATTTTTAAAGATTTTTCCTACATATTCCTATGTAAAACTTTGATCGGCCATTTTGGCCCCACCCTACCCCCGGGGGTCACGATTTGAACAAACTTGAATCTACACTACCTGAGGATGATTCCACATGAGTTTCATCTTTCCAGGCCCAGTGGTTCTTGAGAAGAAGATTTTTAAAGATTTTTCCTATATATTCCTATATAAAACTTTGATCAGCCTTTTTGGTCCCACCCTACCCCCGGGGGTCATGATTTGAACAAACTTGAATCTACACTACCTGAGGATGATTCCACATGAGTTTCATCTTTCCTGGCCCAGTGGTTCTTGAGAAGAAGATTTTTTAAAAATGCCATTAATTTTTCTCTAATTCATAATTATCTCCCCTTGGAAAAGGGCAGGGCCCTTCATTTGAACAAGCTTGAATCCCCTTTACCCAAGGATACTTTGTAGCAAGTTTCGTTGAAATTGGCCGAGTGGTTCTTGAGAAGAAGATGAAAATGTGAAAAGTTTATGACAACAACGACAACGACGACAACGACGACGACAGACGACGGACAAATTTTGATCAGAAAAGCTCACTCGAGCCTTCGGCTCAGGTGAGCTAAAAAGGTCTGCAGTAGATATGTAATATGAGAAAAAATAATTCAAAGAAATGGAGGCAGAAATTTGCTTTAAAACATCACCAAGGAAAGTGATTAAACATTTACCTACGATCACTAAGACTAGTAGTTTTATAGTGATGTAGAGCCAAAACAGTGAGAAGAATACGTTGCCCAGCCTGGGACTGGAATGGTAGTGGTAGTACTTCTGCTGTGTCCTGTAGTCGCCCCAGGGGTTACCCCTCGGGTTTCCTCGGGAGGAGTACTGATGGAATTCTTTATACAAGTCATCGTACGCTTGACGTCTCTTTTCTTGGTTTCTTCGGATCATCTCATCATACATTTCCTCCTGTCGTCGAGTTTGTTTTACCCAGTCCCTGTAAATGTCCTCCGCACTTTTGGGTGGGGTTCGGCTTTGCTGTCTATAGTAATTTCTCACAAAATCATCCTCTGAAGAAGATCCTGCACCGCGAGTGTACCTGACAAAATTAAGTTTAAAATCAGGTATGTAAAAAATGATTTCTTTCCAAACTAACTTTTATTTTGATCATGCTTGATGAAAAGAAATTTAGTGAGCAAAACTGAGAAAGAATTCTAACCCTTAACATATCCATATGTATAAATGTATACAGTGGACCTTCAGATATCCGGACGCCAGATATCCGGATGCTTCAGTATCCGGACGATTTTTTATCGGAACGAAATTTTTAATTGTTATTCTGTCTTGTTTAACTGGTGATTCAGGTATCCGGACGCTTCACATATCCAGACAAATTGACTGGGAACCAAAGCGTCCGGATAAATGAGGGTCCACTGTTATTGTTTTTCAATGTATGCATGTAATAAAAGAAAAGCTCTATGCAGATATATGAAACATGTATGTGCACGTAAACCAACTTAATTTTATTGAATTAATTTTATTCTATGGGAACATCTGACAGATGTACAGAATATGAACAGAGGCCTGTTCAACAGAGCGAGCGCTCACGAACATTTGTATTGGAGGTAACAGGAATTTTGGCGAGTGCTCATGAACATTCGCTTTGTTCAACCGTCTTCAGGCTTTTGTGTGTACATGTATATGGCCTCTTGATATCAGGAGACTTTTTACATTTAGTGCATAACTGTGATCTATAATTTCAGCTAACCTGTGCTGTCACCTATACTAACAGGTTAAGTTCAATGACTCTGTCAGCTGCATTTACATTTGATACTTGCACTGATTTGTACATGTATATCCAGTATGGTATAAATATGTACTGATGGTATATACATGTTACAATGTACACACAGGCACTGACTGATCATGTTTGACTCACTGTGTACTGTAGGTGTTCCTGTAATGTTGTCTATTTATCTTCATGTCATATTCAGCTCTCCCTCTGGGGTCATTGAGGACATTGTAAGCTTCTTGTAGCTGGACAAATTTCTGCTGAGCCTGAGGATCTCCTGGATTGGCATCGGGATGATACTGAAACAATGTTCAAAAAAAGTTAAATTCCTGACTAAGGAGCAACAGTATATAGAAAAATATACAACATTCCATCTAATCAACAAAGACTCATGGTTACATCATGGACAAGAACATCTTTCGTGAAATTACCCGGTATACAAGCATTTTTTTGTCTCCATTTGATATGAGTAACATAAAACATTTTTCGTTTTTTTAGCCTGCAGAATAAAAGGCATTGTTGAATAAATCAATATGTGTACAGGCATATTCTTTGTTAAAAATTTCTCATATCAAAAAATATCACAAAGCAGGACATAAGTCTATATGTTGTCATTCTAATTACCTTTTTGCACAGCTCTATATAAGCAGCTCTGATTTCCTTGGCACTGGCCTGTTTCTGGATTCCTAGAACTTCATAGTGGGTTCTGGACAGGGAGGGGGAGTAGTGTCTGACATTCATAAAGAAAACCAGGTTTTTAAAAAGCTTACTCTTCTTTATTTTTTAATACTGAATACAGGGAAATTTTTATCTTCACCCCTTTTACCCTCTTCATGATTGGGTTAGTTAAAATTGGGCAAACCAAAGAACACAGCATAATTTTCTTAAACAGAACTATGAATGGGCAAATTTGAAAACTGTTCACAAGAGCAAAAGGGTGAAAATAACATGCTGTGAAAATATCCATGTATACAGTAATCTTATTGTTCAGCTTATTAACCTTTCCACTTAGATTTATCATTGTGCATATAACTTGAACAGCTATAATAATTTCATCATAATTTTGTAACTGTACTTTATCTAAAAACTGAGCTGGCTTCCCCCTACATATTCACCTTAAAATAAGCAGCCTACATGAAGAAACATGTGTATGCAGAGGCCCCTTCACTAAACATGGTGAGTGTAACATAATTTATGTCAACATCTTCACTGGCCTGCAATGAAAAATACTTTCAAAATAACATTACATGTTTGAATTTACTAGGTTTTTTTAAAGTATAAACTGGTACTTCATTTATGCATATAACTCTAAGATAAAACGAGAGGTACTGTGAGCAATTAGTTCACTAAATGATACCCCCGCCTCCCATATGAATTTAATATATTGGCAGTGTCCATGTTTTGCTATGAGAAACCCAAAATATATGTTGGATCAAAAAGTAAAATAGGAGGTGCAAAATGGCAATATGTAATAAAGATTCTGTGGAAGTCTCATAAGATTTAATTCAGTGGTATGAGAGGAGTTGTGGATAAGAGATTGGTACCCAAAGCGTAACAGACAGACGGACGGACAGGCGGATGCGCATCCTGATTACTATATACCCTCCCACTTTTCAAGCGGGGGTATAATCAGGAGGCATATATCATGTTGTACTGTTACAGCAAAATACTTGCCTTTGATCTCCTGAATTATACAGATACGACCAAATGCCCTATAACGTCTTAATGTCCTAAAATCTGAAATACGTTCAGTCGTTCTGCAAAGATTGATACATGTTTGCAATAGCAAATTATGCAATACGCAAATGTTATGTCTCTGGTTATAATTTACTTGACTGGACACCCACCTGTTATCGTTTCTTTAGTGAGAGTTGTTGTCCTTGTGTCGATGAACTAAAACTGCTATTCCTTATGGCATGTTTTTCTACGCGAAAAAATATTTAAAGCGAATGTTTAGTTTACCCAGCCAAACCTTGAGCAGTTCAACCCCATAACCAGAAGTAGAAAGTGTAAAGTTAATAACAAAACCCATAAGAGTCGAAATTTTTTCCCGGATTGTAAACGAACGACAGAGGGACAGTGATCAACTTGTAAACATTGCAGTTTCCAGATGTATAAGTCGATGCATGATGGACTATTAGGTATACATAACTCATTTTAAGGTTAAGAACTGAAATCACAATACACGTATAAAATATGCCTCTGGACAACACTCAAATGATTTGTGATATTGCTCTCTGACTGAGTGACAGAACAGCTGCAGAATGTTTAAATTGACAGACACTGATCAGGTCCAGCACAATACCCCGATAAAGGTATATAGCTTGATAAAGCTTTATAGCTTTATCAAGGTATTTGAAATACATGTACCTTGATCAAGGTATATTTTATGTAATGAAAATTCAAAAAAATTGTTTAAAAATTAATTACTGAAAGTCGAGTTCTGAGTTGTTGTCAGTAAAATTCACCCATGCATGTAAAGTACTCAAACACAAATAAATCAGTATAAAAACATGTCGTGTGAGGAGACGTTATTTTATGCTTTCTTTTTGTTACCAGCTAGAGTGTTTTTCATGCACAAGTACACACACTGATAAAAACTCAGAACTCGACTTTCAGTATTTAATTTTTAAAGAATTTTTTTGAATTTTCATTACATAAAATACCTTGATCAAGGTATTTTAAATAAAGCTATATACCTTTATCGGGGTATTGTTCTGGACCTGCTGATAGACAGATTATAAGACACAGGGCCTTTGCCTGAGGTTTATGCAGTAACAAATCAATCAGTGATGTGGGTGATGCTGCCACTTACAGAAAACCCAGTGGTCACTGAAGTAAAGTAATTAACCACAGGGGCCGGGTGTTCTACAAGTATTTATCAACAATTTCCCATATACAAACACAAACACAGTGTTTGTGGCCCGGGCCGACTCTCCGCTCTGCTGCTGTCTTAGACAATTAGTCCTGTCTCCGTGTCTGCTTGGCATCCATTTGAAAGGTTTCTTTGAAAGGCTGGAGTCTACCACAGGAAAGAGGGTCCGAAACCATCTCCATCTTTGGAGCGCTAGCTGTTAACGCCCTCCCGGGCTAACTGCATACCCAAGAATTACAGTTGCCAGAGCAATTAGCTCCAGACAAATTAACCATCTCATTGATTACACGAATCCTAATTACAATATTTACCAGGTAGTATGTCCGGGATAATTCCCAGACAACCTCCAACAACTCCTGTTTAACATACCAGTACATCGAGTGGGTCATTAGGTAGCCAGGCCCACTCACTACTCAGAAACTGACACCAGTCACACCATCAGGCTCTCTAGCGCCCCTCCGGTGTCGCCCATGTCTCCGCCTGGATCTGTAAAAGTGACAAGTACTTTTCTCCTCTGGTGTCGAATCATCAGAAAACCAGGGACTGCCTGAATCATACAGGGCTGTCCCCATTTCTGCAACATACTCCTTGGTGCCCTCTACCTCTGGGTTTGGGCCCCTGCCCAAACAACTCAGCAATCCCCAAGTAACATGACCATATGCTACCTTATTCAAAGAAGGTTGGGTTAGTCCTGGGGATAGAGGTTCAACACCGATATCCTCAATGGCCAAATCCAAGAGGTACTCTTCCATTATCTCTACTCTCAGGTCTGGTATACCCAGCTTACTTCCGAGATGGGCCAGAGGCGCCACAAATCCAAGAGGTACTCTTCCATTATCTCTACTCTCAGGTCTGGTATACCCAGCTTACTTCCGAGATGGGCCAGAGGCGCCACACTGCCTAATACCCTCACTAGGTGAGGCACAGATTTACACAAACCTGCCTCAACAAGTGTGCCTCCTGTCAAGATCACTCTTCCCTCTGGTATACCCGCAGACCTTCTAAACCCCATCTTTATGGTCTCACCCCCCAGAGTAAGGGTTCCTTGCCCCAAGTCTAACTAGGCTTAACGGGCACAGGGAAACTCCGTGCCCAGCAACATAGAGTCCTGTAGTGGGGCAACATGAAGTTCCATTTAATGTTCTTGCCTACCAATACACAGAGTGACAGGCCCCACTTCAAACCCTTACAACTCGATATTTTCTCTGGCCTGTCTCATGGTCACATATTCCAGGATCGGGGGCTTAGGTTCTAGCTGGTCAATTACACCCTGGTTGACAACACTGACCTCAGCCCCTGTATCCACTACTGCTGCAACCTCCATGCCTTGCATGCACAGGTCAACAGTAAAACCTTTAGATCGGCATAACGGCTCAGTGGGTGTAGAGCTGAGGGCTCCTTCAATCCCACTGTCACGGGTGACCAGGGATTACCCATCCCTGCAGGCGACATCAGATCAACACCACATGGGTCCATCCTCCCCAAGTCATGGGGTTCATCATCAACCATGGCTGGTCCAAGCGGCTCCAGAGTGGAGTGGGGAGTTACAGTCCCCACCTCCTCTTTCATGGTGACCAGTGACCACTTCCTCCTCAGCCAAGCAAAGCTCTGGTGATGGTGGCACCCCAAAGTGATCTTTCAGCCTGCGGCGCTTGCGCCGGCGCTGCACACAGGAGTGGGAAACACCGACCCCCAGCTCCTTGGAATTCGACCTAGGGAACATCTCAAAAGAGAGTCCTCCCATGTCCCACCCCTTTGCCCATCAGTAGCCACCTTCTTCCCTGCAGCTCGGGTAGGGCAATCTCTAAGGAAGTGCCCCACCTCTGCACACTTGAAACATACAGCAGGCTTCCGATCCTACTCCGTCCATCTGGGTGACGGGGTACGTACCACTCCTCTGATGTTTCTGTAGGGGGGCAGCTTCCCTCTGCCTAATCAACTCCTCGAGTTTCTCTATTCTCCACCAAAGGGCTTTAAGCTCCTCAACAACAGCAACATTTTCCACCCAATGATCAACTTGCTGAACATCTTGGCCACAATCAAGCTTCCTCACTTCCCTCGATGGTTTAGGGCTGTGGAACTGGGAGTGCTGAGTAGCATAGTGTCCCAGCTGGGCTGTACCATGTACATGTGCTATCCTCTCCCCCTCTCTTCCAAAATGGCAGGTTGGGTATCAACATAGGCAGGACTATAAGTTGATGACATGGGGACACTATGATGCTGTGGTGCACAGGGCATTGCCATACCTAAGTGCAAGGTTTGAATATCCTCACCTCGGTACCAAATAGATTGGGTGTGATCAGGCAGTGGGGTTGGGCATATCCACCCCCAGTATTCACCAAGTCTCTGACAGGGGTAGTATGTGGCATTGAGCTCAAGGGTTGCAAATCATCCCCAAGAAGAGAGGGCACTCTAAAGTCCACAGGTCTAGGCTGGGCTTGTACAGGCATGGGGTTCCAGGTGAGCCCTAAAGGGTCAACAGGCCTATGATCATACTCAGAAGTGAGCAGTGAAGGCCTTACAGGCTGTTGATTGGCAAACAGTGTATGTGGTGGAAGGGTGGGGTCAAGCCAGTGGGGTACACTCTCACCCAAGCTTGGTCTAACTCCTATGTCCCCCAGGTTAGCTGTGTCTCCCACAAGGACAGGCTGGCTGCTAGCTGAGTGCACTTGACCTACAAAATACTGATGTTCTAAACCTGAATTCAAGGGAACCTCACTGTATTCATACTTAGGTGGGCTACAACCCACAGTGCTGCCAGGTGAGCCACACCTACACATGCAACGGAAAGAGGACTCCAGGTCATCATCCCTGGTGAGCTAAATTGGGGCTGGGCAAACTTTACCTCTCCTTGACATACCATGTAACACGCTACCCTCCCACAGGGGATGCCCGAATGCAGGTCGGGCATAGGTGTAGAGGAGGGGCCCCCCCAGGGGCAACCTCCCTCCCATGTGACCTGACATTGACTGAGCAAAAAGGTTTGTGACGGGAGGCAAAATGTTCGCTCCCACTATAAACATATGGTGAATAGCCCCCTTCCCCGGGATAACAACCCACACTACACGGAGTACAAGGGTTAAATTTGTCTGACCGGATGACAGCCGGGCACATGTCCAGGCCTAAAGTCAACACAGCCGTCTGACATAATACAAACAGTAAGTTGTACCACGGGACAGTCGCACAGATACTACAGAAGTGAACAAAGTTCTGCTTCTGCATTATGCAATGCCCACAATGAACTTTTAATAGGATTCTTAAATTTTTTTTTTTTTTTTTTTGCTGCAGGTTATAAATAATTGTTGATATGTATAATGCTGGACCAAAGTGATGATTGCCGAGTCCACATGTTTATTACCATACAAGGTACTTCACAGAGTTTCTCCTGGTCAGCTTTACTTTCTGAGGTATTGAATCATTTTATTACTCTGTTTAGCCTAAATGTAAATTAGATAGGTGGACTTTGCTCAGTCAATGTCAGGTCACATGGGAGGGAGGTTGCCCCTGGGGGGGCCCCTCCTCTACACCTATGCACGACCTGCATTCGGGCATCCCCTGTGGGAGGGTAGTGTGTTACATATGGTATGTCAAGGAGAGGTAAGGTCTGAGCATCCTCAACAGACATATCCATAATAAAATGTCACAAATAATCAAGTAAAATCACAGACAATATTTACAAATCAATTCAAAAAATTGATTCAAGAAAAAATACATACAAAATCAACACCTGCTCTCACGTACCTAGCAGCACCAAAAATGGCGGCAAAATCCGCTGCCTGAAAAATCTTTACTTGACAGCAGTACAGGAATCTCCGGGCCCCACGTTGGGCGCCAGTAAAGTAACCGTAGGGGGTGTTCTTTACAAGTATTTATTATCAACAACATATATACAAACACAGTGGGTTCTGGCCCGGGCCGACTCTCCGCTCCGCTGCTGTCCCAGATACGTCCCGTCTGCTCGGCATCCACATGTAGAAGAGAGACTGTGTGACTATCCCGCCGTCTGACATAATACAAACAGTAAGTTGTACCATGGGACAGTCGCACAGATACTACAGAAGTGAACAAAGTTCTGCTTCTGCATTATGCAATGTCCACAATGAACTTTTAATAGGATTCTTAAATTTTTTTTTTTTTTTTTTTTGCTGCAGGTTATAAATAATTGTTGATATGTATAATGCTGGACCAAAGTGATGATTGCCGAGTCCACATGTTTATTACCATACAAGGTACTTCACAGAGTTTCTCCTGGTCAGCTTTACTTTCTGAGGTATGTATTGAATCATTTTATTACTCTGTTTAGCCTAAATGTAAATTAGATAGGTGGACTTTGTTCTTGCTGATTTATGTGAAAAAATATTTAATCATCTATTAATGGCCAGGTCAAGCTCAAAATGCAGCATCTTAGTAAGTGCTACAAAACACAGTTTAAAATGCAAAATTCTCTCCCATTTAGGAGCTTAATAGGAGAGATCAAGTAATGAGCCGAATCCAGACTGCATGTGGCTTTAGATGATTGATCTAGTGCTGATATGTGTTTAGCTCTCTTTAAAGGACTGCTGTTTGAAATGTATAAAATATATTTTTAAGTCTTCTTTTGTTTTGAAGGAAGTGTTCATTTCTGGAATCACAAACTCATTACCAGATTCTGGGTGTAGATCAAAGGGCGGATAACAAAGAAATAAGGCAAGCTTACATCGCAAAATGTAAAAAGGTATGATATTGTCAGACACAAAGAAGGAATTAGATGAAGATAGAAAATTTTAAGAAGCATTGACCTTGACCCCCTTGTGAATTTTCCAGTTTCATCCAGATGCCAATCCGGGTGACTCCCAAGCTCAGCAGAAGTTTATCCGTTTACAGGAAGCCTACCGTGTACTGAGTAACCCCTCGGAAAGGGTCAGCTACGACATCCACTTCTACACCCAAACAAAGTAAACACTCAGTTACTGAAGCTTGCTCTTTGTTAAATCCCTGAGGAATTTTAACTTGTAGAAACTTCTTTTATCAAAAATTTTTGAGATTTAAAGCCATTTTTTGGGCACTTTTGCAGTTCTTCTATCAAGCTGTCAAAAAAGTAAATCTAAAACCAATAGCAAGATTGATATATACACTTTCTTTTAATATTTTCTCATCAACTTCATACTTTAATTAAAAGATTACCTATATGTTCTTGCAATTCCATGAACTTATTAATTTATTTAAGACACAGGACATCTACCAATCAAAGACGTCATCACAGGAAGCACTGGGCAAGGAGTAGAACCGAGGATGTCCACGGACAATGGACAAACCACACCAGACAACAGGAGGATATGTATGGTCAGTGGGCTGGACAGCAGAGAAAGTATGAGGAGTGGATCAAAGAGAACAAAAGTAGACAGAATTCAAACCAAGAACACAGAGAATATTATAACGAGGCCCACTACCATCAGAAGTACTACGACATGCTGGGTCCCTTTGGTTGTCTTGTGGACTCTTTCTTTGGGAACAAAGACTCAAAGCAGGCATCATTTCATGACATTTTCTTGTTGTTTACGTTGATTAATATTTTCACCATCTTGGGATGTGCTTCTGGGATATACCTGATTAAGGATATCACAGAAAGTGCCAGGAAATGGCAACAAGGTAAGAGGTAGAACTTAATGGACCATTTACATTAATGTACTCCTATCTATGATGTACATATACACCTGGCAATATCGTATACAATGTAACTATTTCACAGAAAGTAAAAAGACAAATCTATGTTGAAGATAAACAGCTTAAAACATGTAAAAAAAACAATCATGATAAATCAATGTTAGAGTTATCTTCCATATGATGCCAGGTTTAACTTCCTTAACACATGATTAAATGAATAATTATTGAAAATGTCATAAAGTTATTTCCCTTTTTTTCAGTGAAGAAATAACAACTCCTGATAGCTGTGGTGTGGCTGTGAGGTACAAATATTTGATTCATTTGCTGTAAGGTCTCAAAAGATTTTTTTTAAGGAGATCAAGTCCAATACAATTCTGATGATGAAGTCAAATAATTTATAATCTGTCTAACACCACTTAAGTTTTGTGTCCAGTGTGCAGCAACAGGGCAACTTTTTTCATGAATCCTATTGTTAAGTATGTAATACATGTAACTGTTGAGTGTTTATGAATTGGTGGGGGGGGGGGGGTCACTGTTACCCATAAATACATGTATGTAAAACTTGGATAGTCCATGAACATTTGACTCCCGCAAATTAAAATAATTCCAAAGTAAATAATCCATGAATAAAACTCCTAATCCAGTGATGATAATTAATTTTTTATGAATTCTCCTATGAAATAACATTTTCATTATAATAGTATTAAAACAATTAATAAAGAATATTGGGGAAATATATATTTTTTTTAAATTATGATTCCGATTTCTTTATTAGTAAAAGACTTACAATGTACTCTAACAATTATATTTGAAAGGGGAGAAAATAAAAGTCTTTTTTTTTTTTTTTTTTTTTTTTTCAGTGGCAGTCTACATATTTAATGATGGAGGATGGAATACTCTTTCCTTTCACTTGAATCTGGTAATATACTTTATACAAGAACACTATACTTTGACAGTATGCATGTGTTGTGTGCTAAAGAAGGCACATAAGGCTTTTGTATACAAGTGTATGAAGCATAATGAACACTGACTTTCTAACAATCATACTATGCAAAATTTTTAAAGAATGTAAATTTTTATATACAGTGTAGTTTTAACAGTAATCTTTCAATGTTATGCATTTTTGTAAAATTATTCTTATGTTTGTTAAGTTTTTGTTGATTCCCTCACTGATAATAAAATTGTCAAAAACAATCTTGACCTTTCATTGAAAATTCAAACAGGAAATGACTATAACACAAGTCAGAGTCAACTTGCAAAAATCCAAATTCTATCAGGATGCAAAAGCCAGATCTGTATTTGATCAGAAACATTTGGTTAACTGGTTAGCTAAGATGTTACACTTTTTTTAAAAAAAGGTTCTTCAACTGTGCTTAACTTGGGCCATGGCCTCTACAGAAAGAAAAAATTTAGAACAATGACTTTTTTTTATTTCTTCAAAACTTAAAACAAATTTTACGTATCACAGTTAACAACTGAAATTTTCATGCAAATAACACTCAACAACAAAATGCAGAGTAATGTACCTCTCTGACACAATCAAAGGCATATCTGTGTCAAACAACAATTTTGTACTCTGTCCTAAAGAAAGTAAAACAGATTGAAATAATTCTTGCACAAGAAAAACAAACTTAAGTATGAATTTAAAATATAAGTGCAATCACCTTTCCAAGAGGTCACTTAATTTTAAATTTCTTTTAGACATCCAACATTTTCCCCAAAAATATCAGCATTTACCCTTAATTATTCATGAACATAATATTTATTGTTAAAAAAAGCCCCCCTCTCCTGAAAAAAAGCAAACAAAGAAAACTGTTTAGAACTTTCTGTAATGAATATATAAAAAGTACACAAGTATGAACAGGCCAGCCACTTTCCCTAGAGCAGTAATAAGGAACAAGTCCGCCACTGTTAATTTATTCATGAAGTAGAAAGCTCTGGCCTTTATTTCTTCATGAGGATTGAACCCTCCTTGCCCCGCCCATTGCCTGGGGTCGTCCTGTGGATTGAATCCTCCCCATTGTCTGGAGTCGTCTCTGTGACTATTGTGGTTCTGATTCTGCTGTTGATGTGCGTTAGGACCGGACTGGTTTCGACTTTTCTTGATCCAGTCTTCGTACATCTCCTGGTGCTGTTTATAGTACCTCTGTATGACTTCCTGTTCAGACATGTGTTCTGTATTGTGAGTCCTGAAGGTTAATTACAATTGTTTTAACTTTGGTTGTAAACGTGTCATTTGATTGGGTAAAATAGCCTATATGCTATGACCCATGTTGACTACATCATGACTTACATCAAAAAGGTATCAGATGATATATTTTAAAATATACAGTTTGATGGCATTTTGAAGGAGAAATTGATTTATTTTCTATATTTTTAAAAATTTATAAGGAATACCGGTAAATTTAATAGCTATCCAAGTTATACAGGTATGACCTGGGTTGAAACAGATGAGCAATAGAAACACGAATACAGATATCAGTATTTTTAGTTACGTACGTTGTATAACTTTTGTTGACCTTGGCCCTTGACTGTAAATCTTTGTACATTTGAACGTCATAACTGGTTCTTTCTTTGGGGTCACTTAAAACGTTGTATGCTTCTCGAAGTCGGATAAATTTCTGCTGAGCTTGTGCATCACCTGGATTCGCATCTGGATGCAACTGAATATAAATATAAGAGTCATTTTATTTCAACAAAATAAAAATAAATTAGGGAATAACTATCTTCTAATTTGGTATTTGCGACCGTTAATGCTGATTTAACGGTCGCAAACTGAGTTTTACCGGCGACGCGCAAGCGGAGCCGGTAAAACGGATGTTTGCGACCGTTAAATCAGCATTAACGGTCGCAAATACCAAATTAAAAGTTTAGTTATTCCCATTCTAATGCAATCCATGCATTTTGTTTGTTGTTTCGTCTTATTTTGTTGAATTTTGTTACATGAAATACGTCACGGAGCATTGTATATTTGCGTAGATCTATTATGACGTCACAATGAAAAAACTTTCAAGCTCGTTAATGCTCGTTTTACTGCTTCAAACATCAGTGCATTAGCCAATCAAAGAGTGTTTTACAAAACAATTGCATTAGAATTTCAAAAAACACTCATGAAATGCATTTCATTTTAAAGAAACAAAATTATAAGGTTGTCCTCATTTCAACCATTATGTCTCAAGTTAAAGAGAGCACATTATTGACAGATTCTCAAAAAATTCATAATTAATTCATATGTAACTTTTTTTTTTATCGCGTACTTTTTTACTCATAGAAATATATGCTTGTTTGATTTCTTTAGTATTGGCTTGTCTTCCCACTCCCAAGATATCATAATGTGTCAGGGATGCTGCAGTGGAATACCTACAACAAACGATTATTCATATTTATTGGCAGATTAAAACTGTTTAATATTTATATGGAACATGTCATTTTTTCTTTTATAAATTAAATGTAGATTGAACACAAAACAAAAAAAAAAATAAATAAATGGCAAAAATACTTTCAATGTGTCCATATAATGTGAACATATAATAAGTAGTCGGCTAGCTGCAGATCTGTAGCTCTCCGAAAAAATATATTGATAGACCGGAGAGCTACAGATCCACCCATTGAAAAAAATATATATTTATTGCGCACAAATAAATGCGCTTGGTTCTGGATAAATTCTTCCAAATTTTTACCTCAATTGCAAAAAAGGGAAGTTTTAAAAATTCCTTTCTCCTCTATCAAGTACTCTCGTAGTTGACATCTGAACGAAGCATATTGGACCGAATTATCTTTGAAACCAAAATGGCATTATAAACAAGCGAAATGTTCTCTGATTACAATATCAGGGTCAGGAGGACTATTAACAACATTTATGAGGAATGTTTGGTTGTGGAAACAGCGAAAGAATATGTTAGGAACATACGGTTTGTAATATTTTGAGATCACAGTTTTAAAAACATAGAGAAATAAATCGAGAACCGAGCGCATTTTTTTGTGCGCAATAAATAAACAGTTTTTTCAATGGGTGGCTCTGTAGCTCTCCGGTCTATCAATATATTTTTTCGGAGAGCTACAGATCTGCAGCTAGTAGTCGGCATGAATAGACTTGAAGTTTTGAAACAAAGTATAATATATATTGCTTTGTAAACTTTGTACATAGTGTCTCAACTGCAACTTGTCATTTACATTTTGCTAATGGAACTTAATTCGAGTACTAATGTACCTTTGAAAGCAGTTCTTGTTCAAAGATGTCACCTGCCATTTCACAGAATATTTTAATATCCAGAAAAAACACATAGTTCTGATTCTTTGCACATGGCTTCTTTCCTAAAAATATAAAGACAAAAAAATCGACTATGTTAATAAAAAACAATTGGATATTTAACACATAAAATGCGCCGATTCATGATGCAGATCATATACATACTTATTTTAAACTCGGACACCTTTCATCAACTACAGTATCAAGGTGTTAGACAAAGTTACATTAAATAAATGGTGTCATCAAAGATCATTGTATGAATTGTCCTTATTGAACAATTTGCAGCCATTTACCGAAGACTGTATCCGACAATACCTTTCAATTCTCTCTCAATTCAACAGACACGACAGTGACGACTGACAGTGACTGTGACATTTCTCTGTGGGCCAAACCGGAAGCATAAGTGTGAACAATAAATACCGGTGAAGAAGCGTTAATTCCGGAAAGTGACGTTCGAAATGAAACCTTTTCACGAGTTCCTTTCTCCCAAGCAAGAAGCCCGTAACTTTATGGCTTTATACATGAAACAAACGTCAACAATGAAAAATAATGTGTACTTCTAATGCGTTTGAAGCGATCTGACGTTTCTGTCTAAATTATTCCTGTAAGTGTAACACCCCCACCACCCCGAATCATTTCTACTACTCAATGGCATATCTTTCTTTATTGCTGTAATAGACTGTAATAAATATATAAATGTTCTTTGTTTTTTAAGCTGTTAAGGTGGTTTTTTCCTTCACGAGTTGGGCCAATTATTATTTTTTCCAAATTCCCCTTTGAAATGAAATTAATGCTTCCATAAATAGGATTTACTAACATTAGAGGCCCATTTGAATGCACATTGTTGTTTTCCTGGTCAATTCACCTTTCACAACTCAAAATCTTCATCTTTTATTAAACATTATTATACCTCTACTGATTTTTTTCCTATTTAAAATTTGGGCAGTAAAATGTGAATAATTCCCAAGAAATCTCTTTGAATGGACTAATCCTAGTGCGTTAATCAAATGAGCCAATCCCTGCTTCGGAAGCTAATTCCCTGGTTATCTGTAATCCTCTAGAATTTACTTTTGTTTCATTCTAATATGTTAATGGACTAATCCCCATGTGTTAGTGCGGAATCTTTTTTCTACAAAACAGTGTTCTCAGAACTCCTACTCTAAACTCTGCAGCAGCCAATTCCTCTCTTGGTATACAATTGCTGGTGCCTTGTGGATATCCCGTAAGGTTTGAAAATTTCTTATCTGTGAGCACAACTCTCTCTCTATCTCTCTATCTCTCTCTCTCTATCACTCTCTCTCTCTATCTCGATCGACTCCCCCAGTACCTGATCTTGCAAATTATCAATACAAGTATAACTCTTAGCTGTTGGAAGAAACTTACACATAAACTTTTGAGTCTGATTACTTTTCATTATCTTCAAATTTCTATTACCTTGGATAGAAAAATGCCATTTGATGATGTTTAATTATTCACAATCCAACAATTTTCTCCCTTTTATTTATGATGTGAAACTAACATTAATCTATGAAAAGTACATGTATAATACTCATAAACATGTATGCATATAATTAAGATTGGCAAACAAAACAGTACTTTAGGCCATGCAAAATTAATTCCTTGGTTCTCAGGCCTTTTTTCAAGAAATATGATGAGGGAGGGAGGCATTTTTTTTTTTTACTTTTTATTGCCCCCAAAACATGATGAGGCAGCTTTTTACATTGTACAAAACCTCAAAAAATGATGAGGGAGGTGATTTGTTGTTTTTATTTTATTGATTTAGCAATAAAAAGGGTCAATGAGGCGCCCTTGGAAGAGATGAGGGAGGGCCTGAGAACCAAGAAATTAATTTTTTTTGGCCCTAATTGATTCTTTATGCTGCCTCTTTTCATTTAAGACATAAACTTGTTTTGCAAGACTTATTTTCTCAATTTAAGTGCATCATAGTTAATTTAATTTAATCAATATTTTATTATGTAAAATTACATAATTGGATTGGACATCAGACATGGCCTATATAAGTCCTCTTCTTGTATCATAGTTAAAGTCACAAAACCTGTTCAATGCATATACTGACAAGAAAGCATTCAACAAAACTAGATATGACTGATTATCTGTACTAAATTATAATGTGAAATAATCACAACAGATACCGAATATGAGGTTTGCTAGCTCTCAAATCATCAAAACCTCCTCAAACTGTCTTTAATCAAAAGACTGTACATGTATGTGTAAGATCTTCATAAGATCTTGATTCACAATTGTGTACCATTACTGTGTACTTAGCACTTGACAGATATTGTGTACAGAATGTCACTTGACTGTGATTTTGGCCGCATTCTTGTCTGACACTGTATACTCGTCCCATTTTTTCTCTGGATCATACGGTTCCCATCGACTTGCTGGGAATATGTGCTTGTTCCTTTCGTACCAGGTTCTGAGACAAACTTTCCCGGCGTGTGATTCGTCCTTCTCCACTGAAGCATCACTAAGAAGCCTCACGTCGTCATGAACGTCAAAACTGAACAGTGGACCACTTTTACCCCGAGCCTTGGTAACGATAAAATCATAGAATGTGTAATGATGGGGAATGATTAAGTCCTCTTTGACATACATTAACTGGTCGACGGAGACAACTTTGAGGTCATTAAATTCCCGTCGGAGGGTCTCTAAACACTTCTGTAGGAACTGCTGGATGCTGTTTCCTTTCTTCATCCTGGCCTGCCGTCTGTGTCCTGACCCGTCCCAGTAACTGTACGTTATGTCTATCTCTTCATTCTTCATTCTCTCCTGCTTTTCTTCCCATTCCTGGCGAAGTTGTTCCCTGTGAAATGTAAACATGAATGTTTATGGGAATTTCCTGAGAAACACTGACAAGTACCTTAGCTTCAAAGAGAAAATAAGCAACAAATTAGTCAATGATCTGTCAAATTATAATGTACCAGTATACTGTTCATCAACCCTAATACAACTTTGACTTGTAAGTCTTTTTAAGCAGCATCAATGAAAAGGTACTTTATATACTGGGTATAAAAACACAGTGAGTAGGGAGAGTTTTTACTGGAATCCTATTTTAAATTTAAAACTGCTTGGGCACAGAATTGAAATTAATATTTCTTAAATTTTCGGTATAATGTCATGACTTATTTGTTGCTATAGCAATTCACATGGAAAATAATAAAAACAAAAGATGTTTGTGAAACACTTATGCCCCCTGCCCCAAATATTTGGAATTTTTCCAAGTCCAAGGGACATAACTCTGTCAAAATGGCTCGATCGTACCCAAAACAACAGAACTTAATCTGGATATTCTTATGATAAATATATATAGTAAATTTCATTTCAGTATATGCAACCTCTGCAAAGAAAGTGAATTGAAACTGCAAATAATTGGAATTTTTCTAAGTCCAAGGGGCATAACTCTATCCAAAATAGCTCAATCATACCCAAAATAGAACTTTACCTAAATACAATGTATTCTTATGATAAATCTGTATTTTATTTCAACAAGTATAACCTATGCATAGAAAATGAACAGAAACTGCAAATAATTGGAATTTTTCAAAGTTCAAGGGACATAACTCTGACTCAGTCCAAAATGGCCCCATTGTACCCAAACCTTGAAACCTTAAAACTTGACCTAGATATTCTTATATATCATGTATATTCAATTCATTTATTGACAACACCATCATACATTGGCATATAGTCATGAATACAACAATTAACATACATGAAATAAAATATCAAAGAAAGCATATCAGGTTTGTTGAAGGTTTTCTTTCCTAATATCAAAGCACTTTTTCAAAAAGTTACAAACTCTCCTAGCAGTTCTAATACTTGTAGGATTGATAATGTCAATAATAGGGTTTTCCTTCATGTAACAGTGTGCATTGAATATATCGTAATATTGTAATCTACATTGATCATAACTAGGACAATAAAGTACAAAATGGTTTTCATTTTCAATAAAAAATTTACAAAAATGACATACACGTTTTCCTCTAGGAATAGGTGGCCTTGAGTATCTCCCCATTTCAATATGTAGGGTATGAGCACTAATTCTTAGTTTTGTTAGGATTGTTCTTTCAGATTTCTTCAATGGTAATTCTAGATAGTTTTGTAATTTATATTCATTTAAATCAATTATACTACTATAAAAAGTTAATTTCCAAGAATTTGATTTAGAAATGTTCTTTAACTGTTCACTGATCTTGTTTCTATAATGTTCCTCTAATTTACATTTTAAAGTTTTATGTGATATGTTCAATGAGGATAAAGACAATTTCTGTTGTAGAGTATAAAGCTTCCTTTGCCAAGATATTCTAGATCCCAGTGTTTTATCTTCCTTAAATGCAGACACCACTAATTGGTCATTATAATCATTTTCTCTCTCTCAGTTTTTCAGTCTTAAATAAAATTTATACATATTTATCACAACACAAATAAAATACTGGGAACTGTCCCAACTCATATAGAACAGCAATATTAGATGATTTTCTATGAACACGTAAAATGTCTTTAAAAATCTGGTGTTGTATTTTTTCAAATGGAAAGTGATCTGAGGATAATAAATCACATTTGTAGTCTGCTATCCATATTTCAGAACCATAAGTTAAGATTGGAGTAATCATAGATCTATAAAGTTTAAGCATTGTCTTTACAGAAAAATTTGTATTAGCTGGAAAATTGGTTTTTATAGCATAATAAACTTTTCTAGCTCTTTCTGACAGTTGTTCTGCTGAGAATTTCATTTTTCCATCAGATTTAAACACTAGTCCCAGATATTTATACTGATTTGTTATTTCTATACGGCTATGATTATAGTAAAACCAATACTCATTTTCACAATTTGTACTTTGAGAAAAAATCATAACATTTGTTTTTTCCATGTTCACACACAATTTCCAATCATGACAATATTTACCTAAAATATCTATACATTTCTGTAATATCTGTAAACCAAATTTCATTTCAATATGTGCAACCTCTGTAAAGAAAATGAATGGAAACCAGAGCTCCAGATAAGGTGCATATATATTTACAAAGTACGCACTGAAAATTAAAATAAAGCGTACAATTATGCATTAGCAATCATAGATATTATAAGCATTACACCACCAAGGTACAGCGTACAACAGGTTGAAAAAATACAGGTATAACTTACTTAATGATATGAAATGAATTGAGGTTAATTCAGTGTTTGGTTTTTCTCAAAACGAAGTACAGATTTAAAAGCCTTTTAGTGACCAGGAATATTTTAGTAATGGCAACAACGATCTCCATTTAGGGAGGAAGAATCAGAGATTTAGATTTCTATAAATAGAAAAAATATGCACTCCTATAACTTTTTTATTATGGGTTCATAGCCAATTTTTCCTTTCTCTCAATTTGCCATATTAATGAAGATTCTTTTCTATCAGTTTACTCTTGATACGATATCTTAATAGAAAGAAAGTTTTCTGTGTCTCTGACTCAATGGTACCTTGACCTATGTATTATCTTAGAATTCCTTGTCAAAACAGAATGCTTTCCAAGTTTTGCAAAAAGTCTTGTTGGTATTTTCAAAATTTATTTAAATAAATGGATGTAGGAACAGACCTTTGTAGTTTTTTCCCTCTTCAAAAACACTTATATTTCGATTACAAGATTAAAATCAAAATAAATGTCAAAACATTTATATGTAAACAGAATACTCTTCAATCATTTTGCTTAAACTCAAAATCTGCATTGATTTGAAAATTAGGGAGTAAATACACTTTGGGGTAAAAAATTACCTGGAGCTCTGGGAAACTGATGGTGGACCAACAGACAGACTGACCGACTGACAGACAGCAGCAAAGCAATATGCCCTCCCTTCTTTGAACGGAGGCATAACTAGATAAGTTATTATAGGCAGTTGATACCTGAGCTTGTTTTCCTCTTCCTCTCTGTCGCGATCTGGCAGGAAGCTCGTATCTACATCAGGATTCTTCCCTGTAAAAAGTTTCATTGTAAGTGAGTATGTTCTTATCTGTAAGATAACAGTGATTAAAAAATAATAAATGTGAAGTAAGCACACAAAGATTGCCTATTCAATGATGTTTCTAAAGAGTATCAACAAAATCTGTTACTAGATGCTGTCATGAGACAGTAATACCCGCACTATGGTGTTTGCCTCTAAATATACACTCATTCATATTGGACTTTCCAAGGAAGAAGTCAAAATAATTCTATAATTATCACCGTACATGTATTCGTCAAATTGAACATAAAATTTTCAGATGACCATATCAACTCTCAGAGCCTCACATATGTATTTTAAAATACTTAATTCATAACCAGTCTGAAATAACAGAATTTAATTAATGATTGAAGTGAATTACTTAATTAGATTCAAATAAATAATTTTCCCATAATTTGGAACTTTTTAAATTTACTTTCTCAACGACATAAAATATTATTTTAGTACAAAGCGTTTTTGATGAATTTATCAAAATGTGCAAACTGATTTTAGTATTTGGTCGGGCAAAAAACCCATTGAAAATACAACCCGATTAATTTGTCAATGCCTATCTCCCACCCCCCCCCCCCCCCCCCCCCCCACACACACTCTCTCTCTCTCTCTCTCACTCTCACTTTTTTTAAAAACATAGTTTAGTTTATTATGATAGTTTGAAATTTGTTCTTGTACTAAACAGTTTTATTTTTTACATTCACATTGGGTTTGCGTCACCCATTATCATATTTATAGATATCACCTCTCGGCACACCTCGGCCAATTCATACTGGCAACGGAATCAGCAAAGGTTTGTCGAATGAGATTATTTAGCACATGTATGCTGACGATGCAGTGTGGTCAGTTAAAATCATTTGTGTTTTAATTGGATTATATGGATTATATTTCATGAATTCGTTGTCACGACCTATGACATTCGGTAAGTACAAGATTTAGTATAGATTGCATAAAAATAAATAAATGCAAATGGTTAGGTTGAAGTTCAAAAAGGGTCAACATGGTCAAAGATCATCGCATGCCACAGTCGACAAATTTCACATTGTCAAGTTATCTCCCGTTGCGGACATTCAGTAGGCTATATAACAGACGCAGATCCAGAATTTTTTTTTCAGAAAGGGGGGGGGGGTGTAACACCTCAGTCAAAAAAATCAGCCCAAGATTTCCTGAGATGGAAATAAAAAATAATAATAAAAACAATGATGGTGGAGTCCCTGTTTTCTAAGGGGGAGGATGTCCAAAGTCATTTTTATTCTCTACAGTACATATATAGTCTTATTTAAATAACTGCTAATTCCAGGGGGGGGGGGGGGTCTGATCTCCCTAGCCACTGACTCCCTGTACCTGAAATGACAATTGATCTTCTGACTCCATAATAGTAGAAAATTTTTTCATTTGACTATTTATACATATTTTGTTTCCTATGTTTATGTATTTTTGTTTGTCCACGGAAACTTTAACCTTGCCCATATTTTTTAAGTGGATTGGGCTATACACATGGCTTCAATATTTCATAGGTAAATTTCTTTTGGCAAAACCTTTTAATGGGTACCACCAATTTTGACCTCTTGATCTCTTGACCTTGGAGTTTGACCCAATTTTACAAGAAAAATACCTTGAACTAGGCGTAAGTTTTGAACAGGTGGTGCTAGGACTTTCATGCTCTTACATGTGTAATCATTGTGAACTTTCAACAGGTATAATTATTTTTGACCTAGACCTTAGAGTTGAATCCAATTTAACTTTAACCTTGGCAATAACTTTTGAACAGGTTAGGAAGTTCTAGGGATTTCTCCCTTTTTTCACATTTGTATTCCTTGTGACAAGACTTTCCCTTTGATACCAACAATTTAGACCCTTTGACCTTGACCTTGGAGTTTGACTTACATTTGAGAAACTTCAACCTTTGCCAAAAGCTGCCATAACAGTTGCTTTCACAACAAACAAACAAATTACTAAAAAAAACACAGAATACATGTACATATTTTATATTCAACAGATATACATCTGGTCATATCTCTAGTTCTCCCTTGAATGAGACATGGTGATATAAATTTTAAAAAATAATTATAAGAGTTGAAAAGGTTGTGCATATTGAAATATACTAAGCTCTGCGGATGAATTAGATATACCAGTTTAGCTTTATTTTGCTACCCAAAGCACCTTGATTAACTATTTACGAGGGTTGTTCGAAAAGTTCGTGGACGGTGTAATTTTCTCCGAAGATTTGTTGCAATTCGAAAAATTTTGTATATTACATTAAATGATAATATATTTTGAAATAATATGCAAAATTTCAGTCAGTTTTACTTACATTTATTAAAGTTATACCAATTTTTGTGATACATTGTCAATGCCCGCGGAGCAACTGTGGCGTAATTTTTCTGACGTCGTTACGTCGCTATGTTTTATGAATAATCTTCCATCTTCTTAGAAACTCTTTCGATGCTACGATCCGCCGATTTTTTCGTCCGTAGAAAGTAATTTCGGCATCAAACGAGTACAAACCTTTTCAAATCCAAGATATTTTGTGATTATTTCATACGCATAGACGTACTTATTTCAAATTTATTCGATTTATCTCTTACTACTAATCTTCTATCTTTGTCAAGATCTTGTAACATTGACGCCGTCAAGTCAGAATCAATAGGTGGAGGTCTTTCTGACTTTTCGTCAAGTTTAATCACATCGACCTTCTTTAATTCGTTTATACAACTTGTACACCATTCATCTTGATACTTTTGACCTATCCCCAAGTTCATCTAGCTATATTGTTTTGTCTCAAAAGGAGTCTTTCCAGCTACCATACAAAATTACATCACAGCGCACTGCTCTGTGGCGTCCAATTCTTGCGCCGTTTTCAACGGTGAATCGAGACCGTCCCCTTTCATTATGAATCGGTAAGCTGAGAACCACTTGCTTTAAATAACTGAAACTTCTCAAATATGACGAGTGCATGTTATTGTGACTTCATATTTAATATCATAGATTTTGTGCGCATAATCTAAAACAAATTTTGTAATGACGATATCGACTTAAAATATTCATATACGCAGAAAACGAGGATGCTCCGCGACCCCTTTCTAAAGAAATTAGAACGGCTTTAAAATTTTTATTCAATGGACCCCAAAATTGAAAAGTTGTATTTTTACTGGAAACATGGTATAATAAAAGTATATAAAGTTTCACTTCAAACATACAAATACAGCGGTCAGTACCGAACCCGTCCACGAACTTTTCGAACAACCCTCGTATAAGCATACTGTTTTCTGAAATGTACTGATTTCTGTTGTCCATCTGTTTATCTGCAAACTTTTCACATTAACTTCTTAAGAACCACTGGGCTAATTTCAACCAATTTACATTTAAATATGCAGGGTACTTTTTAAGCGCCCGGATCGATAGATCCCGGGCGTATATTGTTTTTGTCCTGTCTGTTTGTCTGTTTGTCTGTTTATCTGTTTGTCTGTTTGTCAACTTTAACCTTGGCCATAACTTTTGAACAATAAGGGATAGAGACTTCATATTTGGTAAGCATACTCCACTAATAAAGTCCTTTCAAATGACTTCAAGGTCAATGACCTTGTGACCTTGACTAAGACTTATATGCTAAAAATAGCTTTTTCCACTGTTTGTCATAACTTTTGAACCATAGGAGATAGGGACTTCATATTTGGTATGCATACTCCACTAATAGAGTCCTTTCAAATGACATCAAGGTCAATGATCTTGTGACTTTGACTGTGACCTATATGCTAAAAATAGCTTTTTACACTTTTTGCCATAACTTTTGAACCATCAGAGATAAGGACTTCATATTTGGTATGCATACTCCACCGATTAAGTTCTTCCAAATGACACCATGGTCAATGACTTTGTGACCTTGACTGTGACCTATATTCTAAAAATAGCTTTTTCTACTGTTTGTCATAACTTTTGAACCATAGGAGATAGGGACTTCATATTTGATATGCATACTCCACCGATAAAGTCCTTTCAAACGACGGCAAGGTCAATGATCTTGTGACCTTGACTGTGACGGATATGCTAAAAATAGCTCTTTACACTTTTTGCCACAACTTTTGAACCATAGGAGATAGGGACTTCATATTTAGTACGCATACTCCACTGATTAAGTTCTTTCGAATGACACCATGGTCAATGACCTTGTGACCTTGACTGTGATCAATATGCTAAAAGAAGATTTTTTTAACTTTGTTGCCGCCGGGCGCATAGTGTTTCACAAACACATCTTGTTCCAACATAAATCTTCTTCTCAAGAACAGCAAAGACATTTATTGTCCCCATTTTTGCTAAAGGTAGGGTACATTAAATCTCATTTGTTTGTCAATCTGCCCATCTGTCACAATAAATTTAACCTTGGTCATCATGGTCGTATATTTTGAATGAGAAGAGATAGGACTTTTATATTAAACATGTGTATTAGTATTAAATGGGACAATACCATTCTACATACACTATGATTTTCATTACCCATGATCTTGAAGTTTGACCTAATTTCCTTAAAAAATTAATTGCTTTGAATTGATCATTTTGAAAGATAAATGAAAGGGCATTCATATTACCTGTGATAAGACCTTCCAAAATGTATCATGACTTTTTGACTCTGTGACCTTGACCTTGAAGTTTAACTTAGTTTTCATTAATGTTGTATTTCCTTTTCATTGAGAAGAGATTTGACTTTCACATTTCAAGTGAACATTACCCATAACAAGAGGCTCCCAACATGCTATGATTTTTTACCCCTTGACCTTGATGTTTTAACAAAATTTCAAAAGAGTGAACTCTCCCAAAAGATGATAAGACCACTGTTTAAAACAAAAAAGGAGTTTAGGGAAGACTGGGCTTTTTCCATAAAAAACGTCATTTTTCAACCCTCATTTGACCCCCTGGGCAAAATCAAAATTCCGAAACCTAACTGCACATCTACATGACCCAACCAACCATCTCCCAAAGATGATTAGGATGCTGAATAAAATGTAAGAGGAGTTCAGGGAAGATGGGGCTTTTTCCATAAAAAACATCATTTTTCGACCCTTATTTGACTCCCCGGGGCAAAATCAAAACTCCGAAACCTACCTGCACATCTGCATGACCCCACCAACCATCTCCTAAAATATGATTAGGCTGCTGAATAAAATGTAAGAGGAGTTCAGGGAAGATGGAGATTTTTGCATAAAAAACGTCATTTTTCGACCCCCATTTGATCCCCCAGGGCAAAATCAAAATTCCAAAACCTTACTGCACATCTACATGACCCCACCAAACATCTCCCAAAAGCTGGTTAGGCTACTGAGTAAAATGTAGAAGGAGTTCAGGGAAGACGGGGCTTTTTGGACAAAAAACGTCATTTTTCGACCCCCATTTGACCCCCTGGGGCAAAATCAAAATTCCGAAAGCTTACTGCACATCTACATGACCCCACCAACCATCTCCCAAAAGCTGGTTAGGCTACTGAGTAAAATGTAGAAGGAGTTCAGGGAAGACGGGGCTTTTTGGACAAAAAACGTCATTTTTCGACCCCCATTTGACCCCCCGGGGCAAAATCGAAATTCCAAAACCTTACTGCACATCTACATGACCCCAACAACCATCTCCCAAAAGCTGGTTAGGCTACTGAGTAAAATGTAAGAGGAGTTCAGGGAAGACGGAGCTTTTTGCTTAAAAAACGTCATTTTTCGACCCCCATTTGACCCCCTGGGGCAAAATCAAAATTCCGAAAGCTTACTGCACATCTACATGACCCCACCAACCATCTCCCAAAAGCTGGTTAGGCTACTGAGTAAAATGTAGAAGGAGTTCAGGGAAGACGGGGCTTTTTGGACAAAAAACGTCATTTTTCGACCCCCATTTGACCCCCCGGGGCAAAATCGAAAATCCAAAACCTTACTGCACATCTACATGACCCCACCAACCATCTCCCAAAAGCTGGTTAGGCTACTGAGTAAAATGTAGAAGGAGTTCAGGGAAGACGGAGCTTTTTGCTTAAAAAACGTCATTTTTCGACCCCCATTTGACCCCCTGGGGCAAATTCAAAATTCCGAAACCTTACTGCACATCTACATGACCCCACCAACCATCTCCCAAAACCTGGTTAGGCTACTGAGTAAAATGTAGAAGGAGTTCAGGGAAGACGGGGCTTTTTGGACAAAAAACGTCATTTTTCGACCCCCATTTGACCCCCCGGGGCAAAATCGAAATTCCAAAACCTTACTGCACATCTACATGACCCCACAAACCATCTCCCAAAAGATGATTAAGCTACTTTGTAAAATGTAGGAGGAGTTCAGGGAAGAAAAGTGTGACAGACGGACGGACGGACGGACATGAGTAACAACAATATACCCGAACTTTCTTTAGAGAGTGCGGGTATAAAGAACCAAATTCGAATCTAGAAAGAAAATGGTGAAATAAGTACCAAGCCGTCGTTTCTTTTTTATGTCCTCCTCTACTTCTTCTTTTTCTATTTCCTCATCCTCTTCCTCTTCATCGGGATCAAATGAGAGACTGGCAATCTGAAAATTATGTAATGATCATTTAAAAGAGCATATTACCCTACAAGTATTTTAAAAATGCAGATTTAGCATATGAAAAGTCATTTCTCAATGTGTACCTAACTGCCTACCATTAGAAGTTGCAATCCATTACATTCTTGTATCACATGCATGGTTGCACCAGAAGGAGATGATTTTTAATTTAGATGCAATGATTTCAATGTAAATTTCAGAAAATAACACTTTTTTACCTTCTGTTGTTCTTTTCTCTTCTTTCTCTCCTTCTCTTTCTCTATGAGTCGGGCCTGAGCATCTTTCTTGGCTAACTGTGACTGTCTCTTTTTAATCACATCTTCCTGCTTTGCTTTCATTTCATCCAGAGTTACAAGACCTAACACAAAATCATTTTATCATTATAACTTACTCAACTTAATTAAAAATGTATTTAATTACTGTAAACCAACTATTATTCACGATTCATCAGTTTGAAACCAATCCACATAACATTCGCAAGTTAAAGTACAACTCATGAAACTCGCAAATATTTCTTGCGTGCTAATTAAAGTTCACCTTATTTTCGCGAGATAGTCATTGACACTTGATAAGCGAGACAAAATTTTCACGAATTGTGGTTATTGCTCTATATTATCTTATGGAATACTATTGTACGCGAGAACTTATTTTTCGTGATCACACTGTCTCGCGTAATTATGCAAAAATAAATTTCTCGCGAATAAAAAGTGATTTACAGTATATGTATTTTATTTCTAGGCAGAACCATAGAATGTGACTTACCTATGGTATTAGACTTGAGTTGTTGTTCCACTGCGTCATAATGAGAAGCAAACTTATTCTGTATGCTGCCGATCTTCAGTTCGTCCTCGATCTTACGTTTCCGAGTCTCTATCTCCTCTTGTTCTTTCTGACGTTTTTTCATTAAAATCTGGGCTCTTCCACCCTCTGATGCTGCCCCCTTGTAATGTGCCATTTTTCTTCTTAACACAATCTCTCACTCTATTAAATACAATATATACAGTATTCTCTCTTCCCGTAAACTGGAGTTATCGTTCTCAACACAAGTTATCTTTCCTAATAGCAGGTATTGTAAAATTTCCGGTATTAAATGAGGTAGAAGAATGTTGTAAAAGACATTGTCTAAATGTTGTTTTTTTAATTCAGCTTTCTTTTCCAGGCCAAGTGTTAGAAGGTCGTCCCTTGGACAAATGTAATGGAAATATGCACATTAATAAATATCAAGGTTTGACCGAACTATTTAAGTTGTACAATCGCTAATGAATTAATTAATATAATATGTAACTTGTAAGCGGATGGTGTTGGAAACAAAACTCGGGAAAATGATAGTCTCTGGAAATAGGTGGAACATGTCGCTTCATTGATTGCTTATCACATTTTCAAGATATATTACTATTCTACATAGCAGGCATGTAGTCGAAGCATCGCTCTTCAAAGTAAAGAAGGGGGCATTGAAAAGGCAAATTAAAAAAAAGACAACAACAAGAATATTAAAATGAATTTTGAAAACTGTTTCAGGAAACCTGAAAACTATTAAAAAAAAAAAAAAAAAGAAGAAGAAAAAAATTTCGTGTGGGAAGGTGGGGGGGTGTCCTATATGTTCTCAATCGTTTTCCGTAAAAGAAAATCCAGTGCAATGCCATACTACATTAATAGTGCGGAGGGGAAGGAGGACCTGCAAACCTGCCTAAGAATGAGAACTTCCATAGCTTAACTCTGTAATAAGCAGCAAATGACCTGTTATTGCTGGTGGGGGGGGCACTTTGGATTTGCACACTGGATATATAGAAAAGATAAAGATAAAGCTTCTCATTGATATGTAATAGTGTGGGGAAAACTTTTGATTTTTAAGCAGTATTCCTGATTGACGTGCATATTTATGCATGATGTGAGGATAAAGTACAGGAAATCATTATCTGATTCTTGTCGGAAAGTTAGTAATTTTCATTTCGTAGTTAAACTTGAATGAGCAGGGTACAAATATTAAAGTTATTGATATACCTGTAATTGAAAATATTTTTTTTTACACTCAAACAAGGTATGACATACACTTGTATATACCGGTGTGTAATTGTACCTCTTGAACCATAAACTGAACTGGCTCTAGCTTATGATTAGTGTCCTACATGTACCTTAGTGAATTAGTTGTTACTGTGCCTATTTCATGAAGGGTGGTAGGGAGTTTGTTTCCGACTTTTTAGGTCACCTGAGTAAACTCAGATGACCTATTGCCATCTGTTTTCATCCGTCGTCGTGCGTCGTGCGTTGTGCGTTAACATTTGAACATTTTCATCTTCTTCTCTGCAACCACTGAACCAATTTCAACCAAATTTGGCACAAAGCATCTATGGGTGAAGGGGAACAAAAATTGTGAATTTCATAATCCCTGCCCCCCTGGGGCCTGAGGGGTGGGGCCAAAACCACTAAAATTAGTGCAATCTTTGAAAATCTTCTTCTTTACTCCTGGACATCAAGCAGTCAAACTGTTGGCATGATTGTAATCAGCATTGAGTCCTCTACCAAAATTGTGAAATTCATGGCCCTGGGGTCAGGGGTTCTAGTGCTAGGGTGGGGCTAAATAAGTATATAGGGAAAATGCATTATTTCTTTGAAAGTCTTCTCCTCTGCTCCTGGGTATTAAATAAACCAACTAAGTGCATAGTTATAATGAGCAATAGTGCCTCTACCTAAATTGTGAATTTCATGGCCCCAGGGTCAGGGGTTCTGGTGTTAGGGTGGGGCTCTATAGATTATATAGTGAAAATACATGAATTCTTTGAAAATTTTCTTCTCTGCTCCTAGGTATTAAATAAACAACTAAGTGCATAGTTATGATGAGCAAGGGTGCCTCTACCAAAATTGTGAATTTTATGGCCCCAGGGTCAGGGGTTCTGGTGTTAGGGCGGGGCTCTATAGATTATATAGAGAAAATACATGAATTCTTTGAAAATCTTCTTTTCTGCTCCTAGGTATTAAAAGAATAAACTAAGTGCATAGTTATGATGAGCAAGAGCGCCTCTACCAAAATTGTGAAATTTATGGCCCCAGGGTCAGGGGTTCTGGTGTTAGGTTGGGGCTCTATAGATTATATAGTGAAAATACATGAATTCTTTGAAAATCTTCTCTGTTCCTAGGTATTAAATAAACTAACTAAGTGCATAGTTATGATGAGCAAGAGTGCCTCTACCAAAACTGTGAATTTTATGGCCCCAGGGTCAGCGGTTCTGGTGTTAGGGCCAGGCCTCTATTGATTATATAGTGAAAATACATGAATTCTTTGAAAATTTTCTTCTCTGCCCCTAAGTATTAAATAAACTAACTAAGTGCATAGTTATGATGAGCAAGAGTGCCTCTACCAAAATTGTGAATTTTATGGCCCCAGGGTCAGGGGTTCTGGTGTTAGGGCGGGGCTCTATTGATTATATAGTGAAAATACATGGATTCTTTGATTTTTTTTCTCTTCTCCTAGGTATTAATTAAACTAACTAAGTATATAGTAATGATGAACAAGAATGCGTATTCCAAAATTATGAATTTTATGGCCCCAGGGTCGGGTTTCTGGTGTTAGGGCGGGGCTCTATTGATTTTATAGTGAAATTCTAATAAATTCTTTGAAAATTTTCCTTTCTAGGTATTAAGCAGGTGAACATACCTATATAGTTATGATGAGCAAGGGTCCTAATCTTCCAGAATTGTGAATTTCAAGGCCCCTGGGTCAGGGGTACCATAGACAGGGGGGTACTTATATACTAAAAATGAATGAATTGTTTGAAATCTGCTCCTTGGTATTAATCAAATATTTTTGAAAAGCAAGGATGCCTTTTTAAAAATTATGCAATGTTTGGATCTAGGCCTAAGGGTCAGGGGTTCATGTGTGAAAGGGGCACTACTGATTAGTTGACATGCATTTTTTGCTCCTCTACCCTGCCTTTGGGTATTCAGTAACCAAACTAAGCAACTGCTAAGTGTATTGTTATAATGATCAATGGTGCCTCTTTCAAAATTGTGAATGCCATAGCATCTGGCTTAAAACATGAATCAAATTCAGTCACTGGAAAGTTGTTGCATAATGCTCAGGTGACCTATAAGGCCCATGGGCCTCTTGTTATTAAAAGAGAACTATTCGAATATCTGAACATTAGACTGCAAAAAAAAAAACAAAAAAAAAATGTGTGGGCGGTTTTCAATGAATATTTTCATAATAAATTAACAATAAAACATATTCCGAGAAAAAAAGGGGGGTTCTTAATTCGTGTTCTATACAATGCATCCATAATATAAACAAAAATGGCATTTCAGTAAAAATATTTCCATTCAAATATGAATGTAGAACATTTGAAAATATTTCTGTTTTTGATATTTTCTTTTCGCAGCATCATTAGGAACTTGTATATTTAATTGCAGAATGCTTACTCACACTTGCCAACCTCCAGCATGTAAAAATCTGGTCATGACCAGATTTGGAAAGTAAAAAATCTGGTCATAACGCGTAATGACATTCACGACATATTTACCATGATTAAATTCTATACATATATATACAAAGTATTTGTGTATTGAGAATTCTTTTATTGAAAAAGGATTGAATTTACTATGACAAAAAATTCATACATAATTTGATTTAATTTACATGTTAAAAATGAGAACTGAAGGTTTCATATTTCAGTATTGACCTGAAGTAAGTGTGCATTTTTTTTTTTAAACCTTTTCAGTTTCTGCTAAATTTGAAAGTATACCAATTTCAATTTTGAAGTTATTTTCCCTCTCTCTTAAACTACTGCAATATGTTTTAAATGTGAACTTAGGCCTACACTGTCTTTGATCACTTCATTTTATCTAGAATGAAAGTTTTTTGCCAAGATTCCTTGATATGTACATAAATATCGTTGCTCTTTTTTTTGGTTCAATCAGAGACATGTGTTTGGTTCAGTTTGTTCCTGTTGGCCCTGATAACGATCTAGTTCTATCGGAAGCCATTTTAATTGACTTCAAACATTGATTTGTCAAAACAACACCCAGTTAATTGTTTACACCTGCACTGATAATTAATCCATCGGCACTGTTTACGTAGATCTAAGCTTGGGTTGTTACTGGAAGTTAAAAGTGCAACCTAATTTACGAACCAAATCCGGAAATCGGGAGATTTTCGGGTTGTTCGGCAAAAATCGGGTGATAAGCATGACCCGCCGGGTCATCAAAAATAATCGGGTTACGGGTTGAAAAATCGGGTGTGACCCGACGAAATCGGGTGAGTTGGCAACTATGCTTACTTTTAAAGTTGAGACAGTTTCTTCCTTTTACGTTATGAGTTTCATATTAAATTGTGTGAAGAATATTGCGGAAATTAGATGCCATAAATATTTGACATAATTCGCAGAGACATTCAAACACTTTCGTCTCGCATTTCGTTAATATCGTCATTTATTTTTGGCCAAAACTTGGCCAATATGGTTTATGTATTTGACATTAGGATTGTAAAATTGTGTGTTTCGGTCAAATCTTAAAATTTGATACAATGTATCAGATCATACATTTTTCCAGAGACGAACTTCGGACTCGCTAGTTTAACTTTAATGCCTTTAAAAAATTAACATTTTAGACTGATTTAGTCATCTGCGACATTTGCTCTAAAAACGGAAGTTTTGTGATACCTGCTATAAGGAACAGATAACTCGTGCTAAAAACGATAACTCGAGTTTACGGGAGGAGATAATTACACAAAGAAATTTTGGAAGACTGGTTATGAGATTTCCTCTGATCATGCTGATAGTGGGGGAGAAAAGCTCCCTTTTATAATGTTGCTGTGATAATAAAAAAGTAAAGGAGTGGATCTGATCGAGGATTTGATTTTAATCAGATTGCAATAAAAATATGCATTGGGTATCGGTATCGGCACTTTTCAAAAGTTATGTTCTTTGGCTGCCATCACAGTAGCCATGATAGTTTTCTGGTTTGTAACTTTGTCATCTGACTGGAAAAATTATGTGCATCTTGTATAATGATTGCCCTAAGATCGATGGGGCTATACCCATTTATCCAAAGATTTTTTTTTAAAACACTGCAGATTTATCAGAGTACGCCCAAATGTTAAGTAGCATAAAGAGGAGAAATTTCATTGCTTTCCTTTTTGATCTTTGAGTTGTCCCCCGCAAAGGGACATACTTATGGTTACTTACTTATGGTATTTTTCCAACACAGGTCCTGTCAAGGTCCTCTTCGTCGGACTCCAAACTTGCTTTGTAACTACTTGGGTGACTACCGGTGTAATCGGTTTTAAAGTCTACTTTGTAGTTATAGAGCACATCCTGGTCCTTCCAGAAGTTGTCTAGTCTATTCTTGAAAGTATTCAGAGTTTTAGCACTAACAACGTCCTCTGGTAAGCTATTCCATAGACTGACAGTTCTAACACTGAAGCTGAATTTTCTTATATTGAGTCTCGGTCTCTGTACCAATAGCTTCTTGGAATTCCCTCTTCCTTGTTCCCTCATAACGTGGTCTCTCCTTAACTTGATAAAGTCTGCTGCTAATGGGTCATACTTTCCACTTGTTATTTTGTACACTTCAATCATATCTCCTCGGTGGCGCCTGTACTTCAGCGTTGGTAGTTTTAGTTTCTTCAACCTTTCTTCATAGCTTAATTTTGCCAATCCTGGAATCTGCTTGGTAGCTCTTCTCTGCACTCCTTCAATCATCTCTATGTGTCTTGATTTGAAAGGGAACCAGACCGAACTCGCATAGTCTAAGTGTGTCCTGACAAGTGTCTTATAAAGAGGAATGAAAGTTTCTTCATCCAAATGTTGAAACGTTCGCCTTAACATTGCAAAAATAGAGTTTGCCTTTTTCACCTTCTCGCTTATGTGTCTGTCAAAGCTGAGTTGTTCATCTATGATGACTCCTATGTCTTTTTCCTCTTGTACCTTCTCCAGAGTGCGTCCTAACAGCTCATACTCAAAGTCTTGGTCTGGGTCTTTCTTCCCAATGTGCATGTGTTTACATTTATCTGGATGGAACTTTAGGAGCCAGGTGTTACTCCATTCTGTTAGTTTCTCAAGATCTCTTTGAAGTGTCATTTTATCTTCCCTACCCTTAACTATGTTGAAGATTTTCGTGTCGTCGGCAAATAGGTACACAGTAGAGCTCACGATATCAGGGAGATCGTTGATAAATATAACGAACATTATCGGCCCAATTACTGACCCCTGCGGAATGCCGGAAGTTACGCTATGCCATTTTGATGTTGCCCCGTTTATGGATACTTGTTGTTTCCTTCCACTTAGGTAGTTCCTTATCCAGTCTACAAGTTCTTCCCCTATTCCATATGCTTCCAGTTTCTTAAGCAGTCTGTTATGTGGGACAGTATCAAAGGCCTTTTGATAGTCCATGTAGATACAGTCAACATCATGTCCACTGTCCAAAGCCTCTGTCCATTCCTCTAATACCCTTAACAGTTGTAGTGAAGTTGATCTACCACTGATAAAGCCATATTGTTTAGTTGTAAAGAGGTTGTTGCTTACAAAATGCTCTATTATGTGGTCCCTAACTAGTCTCTCCATGACTTTACACACCACTGACGTTAAGCTCACTGGTCGGTAGTTTCCTGCTATCGCCTTGTTTCCTTTTTTAAAGATCGCGCTAATACGTGCTGTTTTCCATTCTTCTGGGACTTTTCTCTCATCTATCGATTTCCTAAAGATCCTTGCTAGGGGTTCTGCTAATTCCACTCTTAATTCCCTCAATAGCCTTGGATGCATATTGTCTAATCCTGGTGACTTATCTGGCTTTAACAGGTTCAGTGCTTTGACAATTCCTTCCTCCAATATTCTTAATTCTGTCCACTCCTTCTTGATAGGGCGTTTGTCCAGTTCGGGTATGGCTTCCTCAGGTTCTTGTGTAAAAACGCCACTAAAGAAGTCTGCTAAAATGTTTGCTTTCTCTTCGTCCACTTCTGTTTTATTAGACTTTGGATTTTTAGGGTCTACACACAGTTCCGCGATTCCTTGTCTCGTTTTACTTTTTGAGTTAATATACTGCCATATCTTTTTTGGGTTAGTTTTTGACTCTTGTGCTATACTCTTTTCGAATGACTTCCTTGCTTTCCTCACAAACTTTGCCACTTTGTTCCTAGTCCTATTGTACTTTTTCCTTATATTTGGATCCTTGGTAGTCACATATTTTCTGCTCAGTGCGTTTTTTTCTTTAATCAAGGTGACAGTTTCTTTGTCCAAGGGCATTTTCGTTTTTCTGCTTGGTCTGATGGTGACTACTGGCACATATTTATCCTCTATGTCCTCAATTTTTTGTCGGAATTGACGCCACATCTCGTTTACTGTGCTCTGTGACTCCAGAATGCTTTCCCAATCTGTTTCGCTAATTTCCTTCTTCATACCCGCAAAGTTAGCTTTCCTGTAAGTCCTCCTCTTTTTTGGTCCGCTTTTCAGTATTGCACTGCAAACATAATTAAAGCAGATAACACAGTGGTCGCTCTTTCCTAATGGGCTTTGGTATTCCATTTCCTCCACAGCATTTTCATCCTTTGTGATCACAAGATCCAAAATGGTTGGAATGTTCGTTCCTCTCCACCTTGTTGGTTTTGTGATGGTTTGGAACATGAAGTTGTCCTGCAGACAATCTATGAATTTCTGCTCAGCAGAGTTTTCACTTTTTGTACACAGTAAATCCCAGTCTATGTTAGGAAAGTTGAAATCTCCCATAATGAGATAGTGTTTGCACTTCATTCTTGAGGCTTCAGTTATCAGGTTTCTTAAACATTCATTTTTTTCTTCGGTGTTGTCTGACGGTGACCGATAAATGAGGCCGGCTAGGAAATATTCTGTGCTGTTTATCTTTATTTTCACAAATAGCTGCTCCTCAAAGGGCGCTGAAAGTTTTGCCTCCTCTGCATAAAGAGAATCATGTACATATAAAAGTAGTCCTCTACCTATGCTGCTTTCAATATTTACATGGAACATCCTGTATTCCTTCGTCCAATCCATCGTATATTCAGCTGGATTAGGTGCACATGTTGCATTTTTTGCCTTCACTTCTGTTATTCCTATTATCAATGGCTTTGTGTCCCTTATCCTGACCTGGAACTCATTGAACTTATTTCTAAATTGGTCTGCATTGGTGTAAAAGAACGAAAGTTTGTTTATCACTTTAAAATTATGTACATTATTTACATTCCTCTTTGTATCTTCTATTCTGGATCGTTTACCCTGAGTTTTACCACTTTCCTTGCCCAAGGTGGACCGCGCACACGGTAATTGAATTCCCCCGAACCATTTTTATTCAGTTCCTTGGCTTTCATATACAGTTTCTTTTCATTTTCCCTCTCTGTGCGTGTTAAATCATTTGCCAGTCGTACTTCACTGTATTCAATGTTTTCCCGCAACTTTCCACCTCGTTTAAAGAACTCCACTTTTTTTTCTGGGGTTGAGAAGGTAACGAGCAATGGACGGCGTTTCTTATCTTTATTAAATTTACCAAGTCTCACTAACTTTATCATGTTTTCCTCTGCGATGTTCACTTCACAGACATCAGCAATTTCTTTCACATGGTCTCTGTCATAGGAACGACGTACTTCCTTATTGTCTGAGTCACTTTCCTCTATCCCATAAATGATCATGTTACATTCTCTGTTTTTCCTCTCATTAATTTCACTCAGTACTGCTGATACTGGCACGGTGTGTTTTCCAGATTCACTCGCAGTCTCGTCCTCTGTATTGGCTTGATTTGATTCTGTTGATTTCTGTATTGCCTCAGAAACTATATCCCTCACTTGTTCTTCACTGCATTTCTTCTCTATCTCGTCCTCCAGATACTTAATTCTACTGTCGAACATCTTCATCATGTCTTTACATCTCTCCTCAATTTCTCTGTCCACAATGATATTTTTCTCCACTTTTTCTCGGCATGGCACACAGAACCACATGATATCACTACTGTCCATCAGATTGTATTCTTCGACCGACTTATCCAAGCACTTAATACAAAAGTGGTCCTTGCATCGTTGGCATTCCAGTAATTTATCACTAGGGTCAGAGAAAGAGTATTTGCACAAATTGCATTTCCAAATTTCCTCCGTGTCATTTGATCCATTTACAGGTTTATTAGGGGAGTTAGTTCTGGAGTTGTTCCTAGAGTTAGTTGCTGATTTAACAGGTCTACCTCGTTTCTTCAGTTTGTTTTCCCCGCTTTGGTCGAGTCCGCCATCTTGGATTTGTTTACTAGCCATCCTTTGTTGGGTGTTTCGTTAATTTCGTAGGCAGAATAGATTTTCTCCACCACAGATTTATTGCAAAACCTACTAAGCACCTCAGAGACTTACCACTACCCTTTCTATGCAATTAGAGCTCTTTGAGTTTGCAGAAAAATAATTTTTCTCTCCTTTGTTTTTCCAGTCCGTCTACACCGGAAGTCACCGTGTTACATAACTAATGCAAAGTGTGGATTGGACTATTGTCTAAGATTTTCTACTTGCAATTTTACACATCGATAGCAGCTATAATTCATTTTTTAAACACTTGGATGAAGTGACTCTTTATTACTTCCCTTAAAAACAATACTTGATTTTTAAAATAGCATAAATTATGACAGAGAAATGAATGTAAGTACCAGTATTTGAGGGTGTATTTGATGTCTCAGCCCCTCTCAACTCAAGCTTTGGTTTTGTTCTTCCAACAGGAAATCAAATAAGGGTAGTAAACTTAAAAGCGGACACAGTCCTTGATCCGGAAAGTATTTTTAAAAAATATGAATAATTTTTTGTCATAACATTAACCACTTAAACAATTAATTAGAGGGAAAAAATGTGAAAGCGATATTTTTCTATTAATTCAAGGTACTACTTAATAACAATTAACAAACCGAAAGCGAAAGTTGCATATTACACTGAACCCAAGTTTTCATGATGGGACCTTGGTCTTCAAAGCAAGACAGTAATGAAGAAATCACAAAACAGATCAACGATCTCGATTCTCTGATATCTTTAATTGCAGAAAAACAGGTATTATATAAAATTTTGTATTTATACAAAAGCTATATCGTCATCAGGGGCGTGAAAGTTATATAGATAAGATAGGCTATGAAATATAGTATATTTTTTGTAAAATAGTTGGCTTGAGGGTCTAACTTAGTGAAGTGAACAACCTATTCGAAAAATTCATTATTTATTTTATCCTCTCCCCTCACTCTCTCTCTGATGTAAAATAAATCTAACGATCATGATTTCCAACTGTAATGGGAGAATCCAGGTATTTAAAAATAATAATAAACAGGCCCATGGGCCATGGAAGTCACCTGTCTGTCTTCTTCCTATATAGTGCAAGACTGACTATAAACTCTGGAGCATTGTCGCACCTATACTTACACAGTGTAAGTTACTAAATCCTGGGTAATTTAAGTTTTAATTGGCAATAAATACTGTGATTAAAAGGTTATTTAGTGGCGGATCCAGGAATTTCATAGTGGGGGCACAGTAGGCAGGATTGGCAGGGTGTCTGGGGCTGCATTGAAGCTTGGGCACAGCCCGGGCTGGTGCCGGGTCATGCAGTGGCAAAGGCTGACAGACAAATTCCTACAAATAAAAAGTGTTTTTCCTTTAATTGCATGCCATGATTTTAGGTAACATGTCGTGAATGCAAAATAATATTTCGGAATATATCTCATACTAGTACTGTACTCAGGTTGGTGAATAACATTAGTGAAAAAAAAAAAATAAAAGACATATATGTTATCATATTTTATCAATTTAGGTACTAATTTTTAAACTGGACTAAACTGAAGGTAGTTGCTTAATATTAAATTAAAAAAGAAATTTTTTTAAGTCAAACCAGCACTATATGGATCGATCAGTCTTTAAGTTATTTTTGCTTCAAATTATTTTCACCCTTTCACAGTGACTTGCAAATAATTTTGCCCCATTTTGAATTTGCAAAAACACAGTTCTAGTTCAGAATAATCTAACTCAGTGTCTTGATACAAGCCCTAACCACAGGTAGAAATTATGACTCCCATAAATGCATGTGCAATGTAACAAATCAGAGCGGATCGATACGTGCTCCAAAATGATTTAGAAGAATATATACAAAAGAGGTTGAACGTAAAATAATTACCAAATTATTCAAAACAAATCTTAATATAGAGATTGTATATATCTTTTTTTATCCCAACAAATATTCCATATAGAGGAAAATTCATCTAATTTCTCAACATTTTTGTCACTTCAAATCTACATGCTATGTTTACATTCTGAACTCCTCTCTGGATTGTTAGTACATGCACTGAGTTTGAGTTATCACCTGCAGTGTTTATTTTGCAACATTGCAAATACTGGAATGAATTCTATCATAAACTGGGTCCATAGAATATATATCATTTTTAGCTCACCTGAGCCGAAGGCTCAAGTGAGCTTTTCTGATCACATTTTGTCCGTCGTCCGTCCGTCTGTCTGTCTGTCCGTCTGTCTGTCCGTCTCTAAACTTTTCACATTTTCGACTTCTTCTCAAGAACCACTGGGCCAATTTTGACCAAACTTGGTACAAAGCATCCTTGGGTGAAGGGGAATTTAAATTGTTAAAACAAAGGGACATATCCCCTCGCAAGGGGAGATAATCAAGAAAAGACAAAAAAAAGGTTGGGTCATTAAAAAATCTTCTTCTCAAGAACCACTGGGCCAGAAAAGCTGACACTTATGTGGAAGCATCCTGGGGTAGTTTAGATTCTAAATTGTTCAAATCATGACCCCCGGGGGGAGGGCGGGGCCACAATGGGGAATCAAATTTTTATATAGAAATATATAGGAAAAATCTTTGAAAATCTTCTTCTCAAGAACCACTGGGTCAAAAAAGCTGAAACTTATGTGAAAGCATCCTGGTATAGTGTAGATTCTAAATTGTTCACATCATGACCCCCGTGGGAAGGGCGGAGCCACAATGGGGAATCAAATTTTTACAAAGAAATATATAGGAAAAATCTTTGAAAATCTTCTTCTCAAGAACCACTGGGCCAGAAAAGCTGAAACTTATGTGGAAGCATCCTGGTATAGTGTAGATTCTAAATTGTTCACATCATGAACCCCTGGGGAAGGGCGGGGCCACAATGGGGTATCAAAGTTTTACATGGAAATATATTGGAAAAATCTTTGAAAATCTTCTTCTCAAGAACCACTGGGCCAGAAAAGCTGAAACTTATGTGGAAGCATCCTGGGGTAGTGTAGATTCTAAATTGTTCAAATAATGACCCCCGGGGGAAGGGCGGGGCCACAATGGGGAATCAAAGTTTTATATAGAAATATATAGGAAAAATCTTTGAAAATCTTCTTCTCAAGAACCACTGGGCCAGAAAAAGTGAAGCTTATGTGGAAGCATTCCGGGGTAGTGTAAATTCTACATTGTAGGAATCATGACCCCTGGGGGAAGGGCAGGGCCATTATAGGGAATCAAAGTTTTACATAGAAATATGTAGGAAAAATCTTTGAAAATCTTCTTCTCAGGAACCACTGGGCGAAAAAAGCTGAAACATATGTGTCCATGGAAGGATCATGGGGTAGTGTAGATTTCAAAATGTCTAAATTATGATCAGTGGGGTAGGGTGGGGATGCATTATGTATAACAAGGGTGAAATCTGGTAAAGAACAGAATGGTCAAAGCTTCTCAGGTGAGCGATGTGGCCCATGGGCCTCTTGTTTTTAAAGATAGAACATGCTATCTAGATCTGCTTGAGAGACTTGGCTGTTTTATTTAAATTTGCCCCATTTTAAATTTGCTTGATTACAATGAGGGCAAAAGAGGCAAATATAAAAGAGGGGAGGGGGCAAAATTTTCCCTGTATACCAAATTAAGATGGATGCGTCAACTTTCTTTTTCAAAGTAGATGAATGTATGATTTAAATTTCTTTGTAGGTGTCAATACATAAAGAAATAGATACACAAAGTGATGCAATTAAGAAACTGGTTGATGGAAAGGAGAAAGTTAAACACTTACTGAACACATCACATTCTTCTCGTGGGGACCACATTGATTACTTTCACAAAGCCAGTGTTCTTCAGCGTCAACTTGATGATTTAAACAGACATTGTAAAGAATTAGAGAGGGAAAAGAACCATGTGGATTCTGAGAGAAGACGGTTCCAAAGTAAGAAAGAACAATTGGAAAAAGATGTGGAGAGATTGAAAGAAAAGGATCATGAAAGAATGAATCTTCAAAAACAAAATGCGGAACTGGAGAGAGAAGTGCAGAGATTGAGATATCACTTGGAGGAAGTTTCACATAAAAAACCTGGTAATTATGAGAGAAATGGTAAAAAATTTCAATCTGTTACAATGAAACTGCATAGTTTGTCTAAAATAATGACATTAAACATTTAAATTTACATGTATTATAATGATGAAAAAATTATTATAAGGAACAGCAAATATTAAATTACTCAAAAAAGTAAAAACTTACTCGTAATATGTGCTTGTCTTTTAATTTCAACTTTAACTTTTTTTTTTACTGAATTATAGGGAATACATTATTGTAATAATTCTGTCTTTATTAATTCTCTTCTTTTTTATTATTGAAGTTCAAATTTACATATATGCCCCATCAATGAATGAGAAAATTTCTTCTGCCGTGAGGTCAGAGCTACAGATGATCTTGATGTCGCATCTGGAGGCTACCAGGGGGAGACAACTAGAGATTGTGTATACCTCTGATGCCAGGTCCGTGTCCTCAAACAAACCCCTGATTGTCCTGTGTATCAACGCCTCCAGACTCGGGACTGACGTGGAACAGGCTCTCCAGCAAGTCAACTGTAAGTGTACATTGTAAAACAAAGTCAACTGTAAGTGTACAACGTAAAACAAAGTCAACTGTAAGTGTACATTGTATAACAAAGTCAATTGTAAGTGTACGTTGTAAAACAAAGTCAACTGTAAGTGTACATTGTAAAACAAAGTCAACTGTAAGTGTACATTGTAAAACGATATATAACAGAGATTTTAAAGAGGAAATTCTAATGAACTAGTAAATTATTGTAATTAAATCATTTCACTTGAGTCACTTGACAATTTTAATTTCAAGGGAAATTGAAGGAAAGATCAATAAGTAAAGTGTATACCGTATAAGCATGATAGGTAGAATTTTTAGCAAGGATTTAATTTTGAAATTATTAGCAAGGGTGCCAAGATCACTAAAATGGAATATCGCTAAAAATTAATTACATTTTATTTCTAATAGCTTCTTTAATGTGCATTTTAAATCGCTAAATTAACATCTCGCTAAAAATAAATTACCAGTTTTTAAGGACAAATCACTAAGTTTGCGTGTCGCTAAAATTTCCACTTATACGGTAAATTGTCTCCAAACTTTTTAACAGAAGTAAAACTTTAAAATGCATTACATGTAATACTTAATAAATAAAATTAGATATGAAATTTTATTTCATATATTTATTAACACTTTTTGACAGTTTAATTTTAGAAAATTTTCACTTTTCTTGACAGGTTCCAAATCAGTGACTGTAGCAGTGATACATCATAAAGAGCTTCACGCCTTGCCCCCGCAAACCTCAGAAAAACTTCTCTACGGTGATAAATTCCGTGATCTCTATGCTATTGTGGACATTGCTTTCCTTACAAACAAAGGGATGTATACTTGTGATATGAACAACAAAGCCCTAGAGAGACTCACAGAATTCATCTGCCAGTTTGATACCTGAATTATTTTAAAAAAACATATTACATCAAAATGAAAAAAAAGGCAAGAAAAATGGAAATTAATTTAATTGTTGCTACTGTTCAAAATGAATTAATTAATTTTGTCCACAAAGTGCCATACACAAGCATAGTTTCAGTCAAAAATACAGCCTAGTTAATGGTATCTCAAACACAGATGTAATGTCACTGGGGACATATGACAGCGAGTTTATGCACGGTGCTTACTTTCATTTGAAGTAAAGTAAATTTATTATTTAAATTTGTACATTTCATACAAAGATGTATTTGTCAGTCCCACTGAAGTTGATATAGATGTACCAGATTTAACAAGTGTTATACATGTGTTGGAATATACATTGTACATCTACTTTAAATCAATGATTTGTGAAGTACCAATGTTTTCATATAACCATACAAAATAAATACAAAATTGTGGAATTTCTCTGTCATAAAGTTCCTGGTGTCCCAATTAAAAGAATCCAGACCTGCCAAGTGACCCGCATTCGGTGGGTTACACCCGCAAAATTGACCTCTCACCCCCCACTCATAATGACCCGCGGTGTGTCATTGTTTTCACCCGCAAAATCGATCATCCCAATTTTTTGACCCAATATTAATTAAGCATGTTTGTCTCAACAAGAAAGATCTGAAAATTCATCCTAAAATTTCCGATTTGTGTTTTATAAATCAGGATATGAACATCTTGTTTATTCAATGCACACAGATTTAATTAGTATCTTTGTTTGCCGAGGTGTTAAAAAACTGTTAATTAGCCACAGGAAATCACTTCACGCTTGATCGCAGACTGACACAGCTGTACAGGTAATATGCCTGGAGCATTTAGGGGATTATACGTAACCATTTGAAGGGGTATATGCATGGTGAGCCACATAGATTTAAAGGTTAATTAAATATCATTTTATTAAAAACAGAAATTAATTAATTAAATACAATGATATGATAAACATTGGGATCGTTTTTTAAAAACGAAAGTAAAAAACGAAACTACAAAGCATAACTGATAACAGCTGATTTTATCAGCTCTCATATATTGAAATTATTGTTAAGTGTAGTGGTTAAAAGAAAATGATATTAAGTTAAAGCAAAAGAGTCTAAAATGAAGTATATTGAATTTCTCTCCCCCCCCCCCCCCCAAAAAAAAAATGTAGTATTATACGTTGTGTTTCTTCGTTAAATGGCTATGACAAGCCTGAAGGAAATACCCACTTGTCAGTCACATCATGACTCTAACGATTTTAAGTTTTTGTTTGGGATGTTAGGTATCTTTCATTATTTATTTTGTAGTATTTGATTCATTTAATTTATTTTTTGTGTGTTTTAAAATTAATTAATAATAATAGAAAATTAGATGGCACATATTTCTTACCACCACCCCCTGCAGCAGCAATTTTTCAATATTAATCTTTCAATGTAATGTCAAATTACAATTTTCTGATTGTGTAATATGTTGAAAATTAATCATTGTAGAATCTAACAAATGTTTCCCTGAAACTTTTTAAATTTTTAAAACTTTGCAAAAATTCTATTGAACTAAAAGTATCTGAATCTTACTATCAATCTAAAAGTGTTCTTATACAAGCAATTTTAGGTAACCTGTCCTAAGTAAAAATTAAGTCTGCAATAAAATATAACATATACATGCATGTGTTTGACTGCTTGCATTGATGCCTAAAAATTAGGAAGCATTTTGTTACTCAAACCCCAACGAAAATGTCGCCGCGCGCTATGACCCAACATTTCAATTCTGAATGTTGGGTCATGACCCCCCGCAGCATCAATTTTGGTTGGCAGGTCTGAGAATCTTAAAAATCAAATTGGGAAGAACAGCATAAAAAAGGACTGGGAATTTTCTATCATCAAATTATTTTATGTTTATTAAGATCTCATTAAGTGTTAATGAACATTTTATAGAATGAACATCAAGTATTTTTTGTTTTACCTATGTATTATTCATGTTACTTTATCCAAGATTTTCATGCTTTTAAGATGTGGATGATGGACACTAGGCTTCTTCAACAATGAAAGAACATGTCATGTAAACAGGGGATGCTTACTCCTTCATGGCACCCAATCCCACCTCCGTTCTAAGAGGATCATGTTTGCTCTGCTCACAATTTAGTACTGTTGAAATAGATTTTTGAGCTTTTAAAAAGACTGATCTGTATTTTCCATTTGAGTGAAATATGAATATAACAAACAGCATGCTAAAAGATCCACAAAATTGTGAGCAGAGCAAACATATACCTCCTAAAACCAAGGTGGAATTAGGTGCCAGGAAGGAGAAAGAATCCCCTGTGGACGGATCACTGTAAATGAAACAAGCAAATTCAAAGAATTGTGGTTTTCCCCATTCAGTGTCTTTGTGGGTGAGATGTCATTATTTATGGCATATAGTGTCAAACATGAATGCCCTTTCATATTTCATTCAAAAGTTATCACTGGAGTTGATTTTTCTTTTAATTAGTTCAATCATGAAGGTCAAGGGGTCAGAAATCGTAGCTTGCTTGGAAATATCTTGTCACAGGTAATATACATGTCAAATTTGAAAGCCCTATCTCCTTTCAATCAAAAGTTATAAGGAAAATTTTTGAAAAGTAGGTCAAACTTCAAGGTCAAGAGGTCAAAAATCATAGTGTACTTAGAAAGGTCTTGTCACAGATAATACACATCTTAAATATGAAAGCCCTCTCTCTTCTCATTCAAAAGTTATGGCCAATTTTAAGTCTTTAATTTTTTTTAAAATACATGTACTGTAGATCACTAAATCTTCGCGACACCTTATTTTCGCGAGATAGTCATTGACTCTTGATAAGCGAGACAAAATTTTCATGAATTGTGGTAATTGCTCTATATAATCTTAAGGAATACTATTATACGCGAGAACTTAATTTTTGCGAGCACACTGTCTCGCGTAATTACGCGAAAATAAAGTTCTCGCCAATAAAAAGTGATTTACAGTATATCAAACTTCAAGGTCATGGGGTAAAAATCTTAGTGTATTTAGAAAGGTCTTGTCACAGGTAATGTACGTGTATAATATGAAAGCCCCAGCTCTTCTCATTCAAAAGATATGATCAAGGTTAAAGTTTTTATGACAGACTGACAGAACTACAGACTGACAGACTTGCAAATGAGATTTCATACTTTCATGAAAGCGAGGGACAAAAATCTGTAGGTGGACATTTTAGTGAATGTGATGGCCTAAGAATTTTTATGAAAGATGTAGCAAAACTTTCAACTTGACAGTTTTTAGCTCACCTGAGCCGAAGGCTCAAGTGAGCTTTTCTGATCACATTTTGTCCGTCGTCCGTCCGTCCGTCCGTCTGTCTGTCCGTCTGTAAACTTTTCACATTTTCAACTTCTTCTCAAGAACCACTGGGCCAATTTTGACCAAACTCGGTACAAAGCATCCTTGGGTAAAGGGGAATTTAAATTGTTAAAATGAAGGGACATATCCCCTCGCAAGGGGAGATAATCAAGAAAAGACAAAAATAGGGTGGGGTCATTAAAAAATCTTCTTCTGAAGAACAACTGGGCCAGTAAAGCTGAAACTTATGTGGAAGCATCCTGGGGTAGTGTAGATTCTAAATTGTTCAAATCATGACCCCCAGGGGAAGGGCGGGGCCACAATGGGGAATCAAAGTTTTACATAGAAATATATAGGAAAAATCTTTGAAAATCTTCTTCTCAAGAACCACTGGGCCAGAAAAGCTGAAACTAAATATATGGAAGCATCCTGGTATAGTGTAGATTCTAAATTGTTCAAATCATGACCCCCGGGGGAAGGGCGGGGCCACAATGGGGAATCAAAGTTTTACATAGAAATATATAGGAAAAATCTTTGAAAATCTTCTTCTCAAGAACCACTGGGCCAGAAAAGCTGAAACTTATGTGGAAGCATCCTGGTATAATGTAGATTCTAAATTGTTCAAATAATGACCCCCGGGGGATGGGTGGGGCCACAATGGGGAATCAAAGTTTTATACAGAAATATATAGGAAAAATCTTTGAAAATCTTCTTCTCAAGAACCACTGGGCCAGAAAAGCTGAAACTTATGTGGAAGCATCCTGGTATAATGTAGATTCTAAATTGTTCAAATAATGACACCCGGGGGAAGGGTGGGGCCACAATGGGGAATCAAAGTTTTATATAGAAATATATAGGAAAAATCTTTGAAAATCTTCTTCCCAAGAACCACTGGGCCACAAAAAGTGAAGCTTATGTGGAAGCATTCTGGGGTAGTGTAAATTCTAAATTGTTCAAATAATGATACCCGGGGGAAGGGCGGGGCCATTATAGGGAATCAAAGTTTTACATAGAAATACATAGGAAAAATCTTTGAAAATCTTCTTCTCAGGAACCACTGGGCCAAAAAAGCTGAAACATATGTGCCCATGGAAGGATCATGGGGTAGTGTAGATTTCAAAATGTCTAAATTATGATCAGTGGGGTAGGGTGGGGATGCATTATGTATAACAAGGGTGAAATCTGGTAAAGAACAGAATGGTCAAAGCTTCTCAGGTGAGCGATGTGGCCCATGGGCCTCTTGTTTGTAGTTAGCAATTTGCAAACAGGGTCATCATATTAACCTTAATGATGGTATCAGCTTATGTGGCAATAGTCTGTCCTTTTAAATAATTGTTTATACATAGAACAGCCGAAGTGAAAAAAAATGTCAACTCCCTTGTTTCATGGAAAAGAAATGTTACAATCTTACTGGAGTCTGCTTTTGTTCAGTTGAATTTAAATAATCATTTAAATGATACAGGGTTCTTAAGTTTCATTGCAAAAGCTTAAGAACTTTTAAAGATGCATGCATTGTCTTTTTCTTTGTTGTTTAACATCCCTCTCGAGAATATTTCACTAAAATGGAGAGGCCACCACTTGCCGGCGGAGAGCTGCAAATTTTGTCCTAAACTCGGCATTTACGGCCATTAAGCTTTTTTTTTTCATGCCAACACCTACTGTGACACGGGGCCTCATTTTTTACTGTCTCATCTAAAGGAAAGGTCTCTATGATTGGGATTCAAACCTGCAATGTACGGATCAACAACTTTATACATGGTTACTCTAGAGCAAATCCTTAACAGCTTTAATTTGCCAGATATCAGTATCTAAAGGCATAGTGACAGACCGAAATTTAAAATCCCCAAAGGGGAAGAAAAACTTTCATATTTTTTTAGATGAAGGCAAAGTTATGCAAGTTTCACCGC